ATTTTGGGTAAACTGGGCTACCATGCAGACACAGCCCAAGCGTACAAGAAAACAATACTAGGGAGTGGAAGGGTACCTTTATAAACACACACAAAATTGTAAGTGACAAGTCCTCACCTTGTGGGCAGGCGTGCGCTGCTTGCAAAGCTGCTGAAATAGAACAAGCAAACAACATGTTAGAACAACTAAGTGAATCCCTGCTCAGTCTGCCTAATGGAATTTGATGTGGTTACAGAACATGGCTTCCCAGAGTGAAGAAGCCATCTGGGTAATGCAATGTCTCCTGCATGGTTTATCTCCTCAGTCACAGTCCGAAGACTCAGAGAAGCAGTAGGAATATGCAGGCTGCAGACCAGAGGCCCAAGCTTATTCTCCAACGTCGTGGAATGGGACTATACGTCATGGAGCTCGAAAGCCTACGCTCCCGTACGCCACACGGGCAGAGCCAAGAGAGAGCAACTTCTCCGGATGCCCACGTTGGATTGAAATAACGTACTCTAGTCTATACACAATAGAACCACCCACCCACTTAGCCTCCCAGATGCTAAACTTGACTGAATTCTGACCCGCTCAATGCAGTCGCCCAAAACCCACAATGCAAGGCATGGGTATACACCATGCATCAGTTACACAAATGTGCTAGACAGACTACGGGTAATGCTGTGAAAACTGAACTTTGAAGAAATGGACCACACAAAGGCTGTTTTATAAACTCTGAAATGGGATGATGTAGATGAACTAGAATTCATATTTGATCTATGTCAAAATGGAAATTTGTATGGACCAAAACAAACATCTATTGTCAGTCACTGAAAAGGCAAAGCTACAACATAGCTTCTAAATTTCAATTATTATACAGGTTTCAGAGTAGCAGCCGTGTTAGTCTGTATCCGCAAAAAGAACAGGAGTACTTAATTGGCCTCTCAGAGTTGGTAAGACAACTCCCATCTGTTCATGCTCTCTGTATGTGTGTATATATATATCTCCTCAATATATGTTCCATTCTATATGCATCCGAAGAAGTGGGCTGTAGTCCACGAAAGCTTATGCTCTAATAAAATTATTATACAAAATCATATATGCATTGAACCATAGAATATTAGGGTTGGAAGGGACCTCAGGAGGTCATCTAGTCCAACCCCCTGCTCAAAGCAGGACCAACACCAACTAAACTGAGAACACTGTTGTTGACACAAGATTTCAAATATACCACTCCATGCACCCCCAAAAGCCTGATCCTGCAGACACACAACAGAGTACTCCTTTACTGTGAGAAAGTAGGATCACCACCTATGCTTTCTAACAGGGGGTAGTTCATGTTTAGTTACAAGTAAGTTGAACTTTGCTATCCTTGCTGAGCCTTCTACATCTCCAGGATTCCATGTTATTTTGGGTAAACTGGGCTACCATGCAGACCCAGCCCAAGCGTACAAGAAAACAATACTAGA